GTGTTCGATATTTATGTATAATAACTCACCCATTAGTCATGTGCACATCATTGACACATATTACATATCTTGCTGAATAGAGTGTAAATAAAAATCTATTTTTCAAAAAGAATATTGCAAATCAAAAAACTTTCTTTTGAAATACCTATCTATGACTTAAGATATACATATATATATTTATTTTGATTGAATTTTAAATTATTTTTTAAGTTAAGTGTTTAAGGAAATTATGGTTTGTAACTTTTTRTTTATGATGATGGGAGATGCTAATTAAGGACTTATAGATAAAATAAATAAAAAATAACATGTTTGGAAAAAATATTTTACTGAATCATAAGTTGTTATAACGGTTGTGACATGTTTTAATTCCTCTTGGGGTACTGGGTTCCGCTGAGGACAAGTTGTAATCCTGAGATGTTTTGGAAATCCTAAATATAAAAAAAAACTTATAATGCAGGTAACCAGGCAATAATTATATAAAATAGTGAAGAAAAAAGAACATACCAGCATTTTCAACATGTCTTTGGTTTCAGTATCAACTTCAATAACATCTTGTTCAAGAGCAGAAACTTCAGGTACATAGTTATCTCTCCTCTCACGTTCTTCTTCTTGCAATTTAATGGAAATACCACGAACTTGACTAGTACGCAATCTTTTCATTAAATGAGTAACAAATCTGTAACGTCAAGATTAAAAAAAAAAATTAAACATAAGTGCATAAGATTGATATTTTTTGGTGTGGCAAGACTTGATTTACATATAATTATTTAAGTTTAATCATTTCTTCAACATCAAAGAAAAAATCTCAACCTTTTTAATACAGTAGAACCTCATTAATCCAGACAGTTGACTAATAGTATGAAAAATATGCAGTATATGCTGTAGACTAAAATAAATATAATAGCTATCACATTTTAATAGAAGAGATTTTTGAAAGCCTCATCGCTGCAGAAAACTCTAAAACGGATGAATACGTACAAGATGAAGTAGACGATACTATCAAGTCTAAGTTATAACTTGGTGAAATTAAAGACCATCTAAATATTGTCCTTAAATATGTTGAAGATAATGACGAAAGAAAACATACCTGCATATTACGAACATTTGAGGCATCTACGTGAATTATTAATACAAGAAATAAATGCTAAAGGAAGACAACAAAAAACAAGCAGTTTTTTCAAACCAGTTAATGGAAGTGTGTCTAAATATATAATAATTATGATTATATGCATTATGTTGATATGTAATGTTTGCTGGATCTAATATTATGTGGCAATATATCATAATATATAGTAATTAGTGTAATATAATATTTTAAATCTACAGGGTGATTCTTTTATCAAACAATACTCATATGGTGTTTGTGTGTTGATACCACCTAACATACACCTATAACAAACACCACCCAACTTTAGGTGGCTATATCTTGTAAACGGATTAACAAAAAATGAAAATTTAAACATGAAAATTCATTGAAAAACAGTCTTTTAAGTTTATGAAATTTTAAGTATAGGTTGTCATTTGAAAACCAAAAGTTTATAATGGTTTACCTGATAAATATAAGGGTGAAAATAT